CGTTCCCTCCCCGCCCTCCCAGCCAAGGATTCCTTCCCAAATTCCACGTAAATCCCCCCCTTTTCCAGGGGGAAGCCATTCCCTGGGTCCCGTCCCTCCAGCCCTTCTCCCGAGTCCCTCTCCAGCTCTCCTGGAGCCCCTTTAGGCTCTGGAATGCTCTGTCATGACATCGCTATCGCGGCACCACTATCGCGACATCACTATGGTGACATCACTGTGGTGACATCACTATGGTGACATCATTATGGTGACATCATTATGGTGACACCACTATGGTGACATCACTATTGCAACATTACTATTGTAATATCGCTATGGTGACACCACTATCGCGACATCACTATCGCGACATCACTATGGTGACGCCACTGTGGTGACATCATTACGGTGACATCGCTATAGTGACATCACTATTGCAACATCACTATGGTGACACCACTATCGCGACACCACTATTGTGACATCACTACGGTGACATCGCTATCGTGACATTACTATTGTGACATCACTATCGCGACATCACTATGGTGATATCACTATGGTGACATCACTATGGTGACATCGCTATGGTGACACCACTATCGTGACATCACTGTGGCGACATCACTACGGTGACATCACTGTGGCGACATCACTATTGTGACATCACTACGGTGACATCACTGTGGTGACATCACTATCGTGACATTACTATTGTGACATCACTATGGTGACATCACTATCGCGACATCACCATGGTGACATCACTCCCATGTCACCACTATCGCGACATCCCTCTGGTGCCGTCCCCGTCGCGACCCTGCCCCGTTGGGTGCCCCCCGCAGATGCCGCGAGCGTTCCCGGCCTCGAGGGGCTCCTGGCGCCGTATTCCCGCCTCCCGCCGCAGCCGCTCCTGCCCCTGGAGCACAACGGGCTGAGCCCGGAGCTCTTCCGGCCGGGAATGACCCCCCCCCAGCTGCCCCCGGAACACCTGCACCCCTACGGTAACGCCGGGATGCACCGGGATACAGCGGGATACAGTGGGATACACCGGGATACAGAGGGGTGCACAGGGATACACTGGGATGCACAGGGATACAATGGGATATGGGATACAACAGGATACGGGATCCACTGGGATATGGGATACAGCGGGATACGGGATCCAGCGGGATACGGGGCTGGGGAGGAGCCCTGGGCAGGGGGAGAAGAGGGATAGGGATGGGATGGGATGGGATGGGGTGGGATGGGATGGGATGGGGTGGGATGGGATGGAGGAGAAGGTTTGGGAAGGGAAGGGAATTCCCAATCCACTAGGAATACTTGGGAAGGGAAGGAGGGCAGAGCTGTGCCAGGGGCAGGGATTGACACCAAGATCTCTCGATCCCACGGGAATTATTCGGGAATGGGAGGGTGGGAAGAGCCTCTGATTTAATTTCCTTCCTCGCCCTTCCCTTTTCCCGCTTTTCCCAGACTCGGAGGGAGTTTTCCATGACCTGGACAGCGACAGCCTGGGCCCCCTGGGCGACTGCCTCCTGTCCGGGGCCGATCCCAGCCTGCTCCAGGCCCGGCTCGGGAATCCCATCGACCGCCTGTATTCCATGCAGAGCTCCTACTTCACCTCCTGACCCCGGAAAAGCCCTTCCCAGGAACCTCGGGAATGCCGCTCCCGCCTCCGAGCCGGGCCAGGGGACGGGGCAGGACTGAGACACCCTGGACTGCTGAGTGAATCTTCCGGCATTTTCCATCGGGACCAGGAATTTCCAGCCAGAATCCATCAATATTTGGGATTTCCCCTCATTTTCCATCAGGACCAGGAATTTCCAGCCAGAATCCATCAATATTTGGCATCTTCTGGCATTTTCCATCGGGATCTGCAATTCCTGCCTGGACTCCTGAGTGAATCTTCTGGCATTTTCCACTGGGACCAGGAATTTCCAGCCAAAATCCATCAATATTTGGGATTTCCCCTCATTTTCCATCAGGACCGGGAATTTCAGGCCAGATCCATCAATATTTGGCTTTTTCCGGCATTTTCCAGCATTTTCCGTCAGGAGCTGCAATTCCTGCCCGAAATCCAGACTTAACATCCCAACAATTTCCATCAGGACCAGGAATTTCGGGTCAGAATCCGCCAGCTTGGGGAATTTGGGGGTGGAATGCGCCCATATTTGGGATTTTGAGGCCGAATCCCTCGGGATTCCCCCCCTGGTGCCCATCCCAAGCCGTCTCCCAGTGTTCCCACCACAACTCCAAGCTGGAAAGGCTCTGGATCTCCTCCCTGCCGGGTTCTGTCCACGATTCCATCGCTGGGATGGTGTTTTTAGCCCAGTTTTTTTCGGGAATGACCCGGGATCTCCCCAGAACGTCATGAAGGATGGTTGGAATTCCTGGAGAAGTTTTCCCAGGGGCTGCTCCAGCCCAAGGAATAAAATCCTCCAGGATGAAAACCTCCCCCAGCTCTCCGACCGTTCCAAGGAGGAAACATTCCCGGAAAGGAATTCCCAAGAAAGGGAGTAATGACTTACTCTGGGATCTGCGGAGCCGGGAATGGGGCGGGACAATCCCGAGGATTTGGCCGATGGATTCCTGGATGTGTTTTGTCCCTGAGCCTCCACACGTTGATTTTTCCAGGTGGGAACCGAAAACCAGGGAAAAGGCGGATTTTTTGTCGGAGGGAAATTCCCTGGAACTAAAAATTCCTCGTGTTGGCGGTGCCGGGATTATCCCGGACTTCTGGGATCTGCCTCTTCCCATCCACGGACAACATTCCCAGACAGCTGGACGCTGGTTTTTTGGGAGGGAAGGGGGGAGATTTTTCCCAAAAAAACAGATATTTATGGCACATTTCTGCCCGGAAAGGCGAGTTTGGGATGGAATCGGGAGAGTTCCCACCATCCCAAATCCCGGAATTCGCCTCCTCCATCTGCGTGTTTTCCCTTTGGAGGCTCCTGCCCTCGGGACGGACTCGGTTCCGATGGAATTCCAGGAGAATCCGCGGTGAAATTGTGGAAATTTGATGTTTTCACCCCACCCCCGGATCCCACTCCCCGAATCCCTCCGGATGCTCCCCGTGATCCCGTGCCGGTGTTTTGGGAATTCTCTTTTGCATGTACGTTGGAAAATAAACCCCCCCACGCCCCCCAAAAACTGGGAACGTGGGATTTTCCTGCCTTGGGAATTCCAGGATGGGGTTCCTTTCCCGGGGGTTCCGGAGGCAGCTTCCGGAATTCCCGGTTTTGGCTTTGTTTCCCGGTTTCCTGAGCTCTCTGAAAGCAGCTTGGGAAAGACACCGGGAATATCCTGTGCTCCTTTGGGATTTTGTGGATAAATAGATTTAGATTTCAGGGATGAACACATTCAGATTTCAGGGATAAACACATTTGGATTTTTGGGATAATAAATAATTTCAAGTTCAGGGATAAATGATTTCGATTTTAGGGACAAACGCATTCAGATTTTAGGGATAAACACACTTGGATTTTAGGGATAAACACACTTCCAGCCGTTCCAGGCGCTCCCCCTTGGCTGGGAAGGCTTCCCGAGGGATCCTGGGAACGCTCCCCCCCTCTGGAATGCCCAGGTGTGTCTCCCTCCCTCCCCCGGAACCGGGAGGATAAAAAGTGACCCCAAAAAACCCCCCCTGGAAGTGGCAGCAAAAAACACCCTCCGAGAAACCCCCTGGCCGGGATCCAAGGAAAACAAAGGCTGGAATGTGGCTCCGTGTCCACCTCTCCCTGATTTACGGCCGCCCGGAGCCGGGGGAAGCCGAGCGGAAAACCAGGAGATTTTTCCGGCTGAGGAATTAAAGCGGATTCCGGGCGGGTCCCTCGTCCCGGGATCGAGGGTCAAACCCCCCTTTTGGGGGGCTTGGAAAAGCTCCACCGGGAAGGAAAAGCGGCACCGGGAAAAGGCGGATTTTGTGTCCCGGGAGCTCCGGGAAGAGAAGGGAAAACAAGGAGGGAATTAATTGATCCCGGGATTTCAGGGTTTTTGGGAGCTCGGGAGCCCTTGGATGCGTTAATTCATTTCCCCAGGGAGGAGCTGGGAAGTTAAATCCGGGAAAAAACAACGGCTTTTAGGTGGTTTAACTCCCGGGAAAAACAGGGATTTGGCTGGAAATTGGAGCTGGGAGGAATGAAAAGCGGGAAAATCGTGGAATTAGGGGTGGGAATCACAGCAGTAGACAAGGAATTGAAGGATTAAAGTGACATAAAAGGGTTCGTGGGAATAAAGAATATTTAATTTTTAGGGATCAATATACCTAATTTTTAGGGATAAATGATTTTGGTTTTTATGGATAAATAGATTCAGGTTTTAGGGATGAACATATTTCGATTTTAGGGATAAATAATCTGGATTTTAGGGATAAATACATTTAATTTTTAGGGACAAATAATTTAGATTTTAGGGATAAATACATCTAATTTTTAGGGATAAATTCATTCAGCTTTTAGGGATAAGCATTTTTAGATTTTACGGATGAACAGATTTCCAGTGATTTTCCAAAAATCAGCTGGATTTGGGCCTGGCTGGAACCTGGACAAGGATCAATGTATCCCAGGAATGGGGTGGATCCCTTGGGATCGGGATCAAAGCCAAGGGTTTTTTTTAATCCCCCCAAAACAGGGCTGGAAAGTCGGGAAAAGCCTCTCCCTGAGAATTCCCAAGGGAATTCCTGCTCCCTGCACGTCCCCGGCCAAGTTTAATTCCCCAAAAACAATCTCCTGGGAAGCCCCAACCACAACCCTTTATCCCACTTTTCCTCGAGTTTTAACGGATATTTTCAGGAATATTTGGAATTTTTTCCCCCCACTATTTACAGCCAGAAGTTCCTGGAAGGACCTCAAGGCTCCCAAATCCCTGTTTTTCCCGGTGGGAATGGCTCCCTCTGCCGTCCCAAAGCAGGAGAGATCCTGGGAATGCCATCCCTCAAAAACTGGGAGTTTTCAGGTGGATCAATTTGACTTTTATGGCCCCAAAATATCCCTGAGCTTCCAAGGGCAGTGGGAAGAGCCGGGAGTGGTTTTGGATTTTGGGAAGTGGGTGGGTTTTCCTGGGAAAAAAGGGAAATAACTGTCTTTGATTCCCAAAGGAATTTTTGGAAGGATTCAGGTGGAAGAAAAACGTGTTTTTGTGGGTCACATTCCAGCCCATCCCGAGGTTCCTGCGCAGCTTTGGAACCTGGAATTTATTTATTTATCTGGTTTTTTTGGATAAAACCTGGAATTCCCCGGGAAATCAGAACTGTCAGGAACATTCCCGCACTCCAGGGAAGCAGATCCAAGGAATCCCCGTGGGCAGAGCTGCACTTCCTTTTCCAGAGGGGGGAAAATCCGGGATTGGAAGGAGATTCCAGAGGACACCAAGGCTTTTCCATCCATTCCCAGAGGCGTACCTGAATTTCCAAGGATTCCCTAGGGAAAAACAGCACAAAAAAAAAGCAGGGATAGGATGAGTTTAAGGTCCCTTCTGACCCCAAAAATTCCATGATTCCATGAGGATGTGGCTCTCGGGGATGTGGCGGGTCCAGGGTGGGATTTGGGGATCTCAGGGGCTTTTCCAAGCTCAGGAATTCCGGGACTTGGAGGGATTTGCTGTTGGATTCCCTTCCTTGATCTCCACATGCATCAGGGGACAACCCGGGATAACGAATTCCCGGATTTTTAGCCCCAATATCCTTCCTAAACACGATTCCTGAGGGAAAAGGGGACGTGGGTGGGATTTCTTGGATACGGGAGGATTTTGGGGGTTCTACTCCCAACTTTTAGCCCAAATATCCTTCCCAAACATCCCTTTGCCGTTCCCCTGGGGCAGGAAGGGATTTGTGTGGGATTTCAGGGATCTGGGAGGATTTTGGGAGGTTCCGATCCCGCTTTTATCCCAAACATCCTTCCCCAGCGTCCTCCCTCCCCTGTCCCCTGGGGCAGGAGGGGATTTGTGTGGGATTTGTGTGGGATTTCCCAGCTCCGGGTGTCCTCTGGGGGGTTCTGGCCGCAGGAAGGAGCCTCTGCATCCAGTGGGAACATTCCTGGGGGTGCCAGGGCTCCCCTCAGGGCTCAATCAGGGCTCCCATCAGGTCCCACCTCAGGACTCCCCTCAGGCTTCCCCTCACCTCAGGGTCACCTCAGGATTCCCCTCAGGCCTCCCCTCAGGGTTTACCTCAGGGTTTACCTCAGGGGTCCTCTCAGATCTCCCCTCAGATCTCCCCTAAGGACTTATCTCAGGGCTCCCCTCAGAACTCACTCAGGGCTCCCCTCAGGACTCCCCTCCCCTCAGGTCTCCCCTCAGGTCCCACCTCAGATCTCCCCTCAGGCTTCCCCTCAGGACTCACCTCAGATCTCCCCTCAAGGCTCCCCTCAGATCTCCCCTCAAGGTTCCCCTCAGATCTCTCCTCAGATCTCTCCTCAGGGCTCCCCTCAGGAGTCCCCTCATGGCTCACTCAAGGCTCCCCTCAGGACTCACCTCAGGGCTCCCCTCACCTCAGATCTCCCCTCAGGACTCACTGAGATCTCCCCTCAGGATTCCCCTCAGATCTCCCCTCAGGTCCCACCTCAGGACTCCCCTCAGGACTCCCCTCAGATCTTCCCTCAGGTCCCACCTCAGGACTCACCTCAGGGCTCCCCGGGTTTCACCTGGTCGGCGCAGAGCAGGAAGGCGTTGGCGTGGGGGTGGCAGGTCCCGGCGCTCCCGGGGTGATCCCGCAGGCAGCGCTCGAAGGCCGCGAAGGGCTCGGCACAGTCCCGGCGGATCTGCCGCACGATGGGGCTGGGGGGGCACGGGGACGGGTCAGGGGGACACCGGGATGGCACCGGGATGGCACCAAAGGGACAGTCCCGGTGCCTCCCAGTCCCTCCCAGTCCGGCACTGACTGTGCCGAGGTGCGCCGGGCAATCCCAAGCCCCATCCAGTGACAATCCCAGTCCTCCCAGTGCCCATCCAGTGACAGTCCCAGTCCTCCCAGTGCCCACTCAGTGTCAGTCCCAGTCCCTCCCAGTCCCGCACTGACTGTGCCGAAGCGCACTGGGCGATCCCGAGCCGCAGCCGGTGACAATCCCTCTGCCAGGATTCGGGACTCGCGGCCACGCAGCGCCCGTAGCGCTCCAGCTCCGCCCCGCAGTGACGGGCCGTCAGCTCCAGGGCCAATTCCCTGCGGGAATACCGGCAATGGGGGGGGTCAGTAATGGGGAGGACACCGGGAGTCCCGACGGTCCCGTTAACACCGGGGGGGGGACACGGGGGTTCCGTTAACACCGGGGAGGGACACGGGAGGGTCCTGTTAACACCGGGGGGGGCCCGTTAAGCCGGGGTGGGGCACACGGAAGGGACACGACCCGACCCCGCCGCCCCTTCACTCACATGACGCCGCCGCCTCCGCCCGCACTTCCCCGGCGCGCACGCGCCGCCTCCCCGCTTCCGCCAGCACTCCCCCCCCCGCGCACGCGCGGCCGGAAGCGCGGGGGCTCGGAAGCGGAAGAGACGGGCCGAGGGCGGAGGGAAAATGGCGGCGGCCGCGGCGGCCCCTCAGGACGAGCTGGTCTCGTCGGTGACGCTCTACCGGCGGCGGCCGCGCCTCCTCCGCGCCACCGTCCTGCCCTTCGCCGCCGGGCTCTACCCGGCGTGGCTGTGGCTGTGGGGGCCGCGGCTGTGGGGGGCGCAGGGGGGGGAGCAGCAGGGGGAGGAGGAGGAGCGGGGGGGGCCCCCCGAGGCGGCGCTGCTGGCGCTCGGCGCCATCGCGGCGCTGCAGCTGCTCACGGCGCTGGCGGGGCTCTGGTCCGTGCACGCCCAGTGCGCGCTCACCTGCGTCAGGGTGAGCGAGGGGGGACTTGGGGGGCTGAGGGGAAAAAGGGGGATTTGGGACGCGAGGGGCCTGAGGGGGGAACTGGGGGGGGCTGGGGGAGTTTGGGGTCTGAGGGGGATGTCGAGGGGAATTTGGGCTGGGGGAGTTTGGGGTTTGAGATGGGTTTTGGGTGGATTTGGGACTGGGGGAGTTTGGAATCTGAGGGGGATTTTGGGGGGATTTGGGGCTGGGGGAGTTTGGAGTCTGAGGGGGATTTTGGGGGATTTGGGACTGGGGGTACTTGGGGTTTGGGGGAGGATTTGGGACTGGGGCAGTTTGGGGTCTGAGGGGGATTTTGGGGGGGATTTGGGACTGGGGGAGTTTGGGGTCTGAGAGGGATTTGCGGGAGGATTTGGGACTGGGGAAATTTGGGGTTTGGGGGGATTTGGGACTGAGGATATGTGGGGTTTGAGAGGGATTTTTGGGGGGGATTTGGGATCCGAGAGGCAAAGGCTTTAAATCCCTTTAAGACGCCCCTTTCCCTGTTTGTGTCCCTGAACTCCTCCCCTCGGTGCCCGGGCGGGAATTTCAGGGTTGGGAACATTCTCTTTGGGATGTGTGTGATCCCAGGCAAACCCCGGGATGGGAATTCCCGTTTATTTTTTCTCCTCCCCCCCCTCCAGGAGCCGTGTCCCAAAAAAGCCACCTTGGCCAAAGTGGTGCCGACCCCCAACAACGGCTCCGCGGAGCTGGTGCCGCTGCACCGGGATCAGGTGGGAGGATCCGCAGGGATCGGGAATTCCGGGAGATCCCGGGAGCTCGGAATTCCTTTTAGTCCCGTTAATTAGCAAAAATTACGGTTTTAATCACGTTAATTAGGAAAAAACCAGCTGAGGTGGGTCCCACTGGGGGGGGATGTTTCCACCAGCAGGGACAGGTTGGGATTTTGGGAATGAATGTGGGAATTCTGCCCTCTGGGAGGTGAATTATCCCCGGGGATCAAAATTTCTGTTTAATGATTTTGTACCTGGATAATGTTTAATTATTTTATTGTTTCCCCCCCTTTCCCAGGGCGAGGACGGGGAGGAGGCCCTTTCCTTCGAATTCCAGAAAATCAAATATTCCTACGAAACCAACGGGAAGAAACAATTCCTGCCCGTGGCCTTCCCGGTGGAGTATCCCCTGAGCTACTACCAGAATTCCAGAGGCTACCAGGAGGACAAGGAGATCCGGGCGGCAGAGAAGAAATATGGCACAAATAAGTGAGTTTTTTCGGGAGCCAAAATATCCCCATTTGGCGGGAAAAAACGGGATCAAACCGGAGTTTTGGTCCTGGAGTTGGAATTTTGGTCATTCCCGGGGTTCACTTGAAGTTCCTTTCAGGATGGGGAATGGCTGGATTTGAGGAATAAGGTTGGGAAGGGAAATAAATAAGGATTGGGAAGAAGAAGGAATAATCTTGGGAATGTAGTTGGGAGGAGGAAGGAATAGGATTGGGAAGGGAAAGGGATAAAATTGGGAAGAGAAAGGAATTGACTCTAAGTGATTAAAAACCAGGAAATTTTTCCTCTGGAAGTGGTTTTTTTGGGATGGCGTTTTGCTGAAATCTTGGAATGCTCAGGATGGATTTCCTGGATTTCCTTCCCAGGGCTGAGATGGTGGTGCCAGAATTCTTGGAATTGTTCAAGGAAAGAGCCACAGCTCCCTTCTTTGTCTTCCAGGTAAAATGGGGAGGGAGAAAGGGGGGAAAATTCCCTATTCCTGCTAAAAAACAGGAGGATTTATGGATTGAAAGCCAGGAATGAGCCAGGAAGATTCCAGGACTCAGGAATATCTGCTGGATTAGACCTTGATGTTAATTTATCCCTGGGAGTGACCCTTTTGTCCTGGGATTTTTCCAGCTCTCTGGAATTCTTTAAACAAGACGATTCCTTAAAATTCCCATTCGAGTCCCCAGAAATTCCTGGAATTGAAGGAATTCTGACATGGATTGGGATCATTCTTGTCCCCACAGATAATCCCCAGAATTTGAGGGATTCTGGGATGGATTGGGACAAACAGTTCCTGACCCCTCGGGTGTTTGTGGGAGGGAGATTCCCTGCCTTTCCCGTTTCCCCCAATGGAATACTGACATTATCCTGGATAAACAAAGCTGAATCCCAGATTTTAAGGAATTTTGGGCTGCTCCAGGTGTTTCAGTGTGGGACTGTGGTGTGGGGATAACTCCTGACCACTCGTGTTTCTGGGAGGGAGATTTCCAATTTCCAATTGGCCTTTCCCGTTTCCCCCAATGAAATACTGGAATTATCCTGAATAAACAAAACTGAATCCCAGATTTTAAGGAATTTTGGGCCGCTCCAGGTGTTTCAGTGTGGGACTGTGGTGTGGGGATAACTCCTGACCCCTCATGTGTTTCTGGGAGGGAGTTTTCCAATTTCCAATTGGCTTTTCCAATTTCCCCCCGGTGAAATCCTGGAGTTATCCCGGCTAATCCGATCTGACTCCCGCATTCCCGGGCTTTCTTTCCCAGGTGTTCTGCGTGGGGCTGTGGTGCCTGGACGAGTACTGGTACTACAGTGTCTTCACCCTGTCCATGCTCGTGGCCTTCGAGGCCTCTCTGGTGCAGCAGCAGCTGCGGAACATGTCGGAGATCCGCAAGATGGGCAACAAGCCCTACATGATCCAGGTGAATCCCGGGAATTCCTAGGGGGGGGATTTCCCTGCTTTTCCCGTGTTTTTGTGGCTGAAACATCTCTTGTTTTTGTTTTGGGGTTGCAGGTGTACAGGAACCGCAAGTGGCGGCCGATCTCCAGCGACGAGATCATCCCGGGGGACATCGTGTCCATCGGTATCCGGGGATCATTCCCGGGGATTTGGGGCATTCCCGGCGTTCCCAGGGCGTTGGGTTGGGTTGGATCGGGGTGAAAAATCCCACCAGAGGGTGCTTTTTGTGGGTTTTAATTCCCATTTCCGGGAAATCCTTGGGTTGGATCTCTGGGAGTCTCGGTTTTAATTCCCATTTTCCGAGGAGCCAGGAGAGAAATCCTGGGGCTGGGATCTCTTCATTCCCATTTCCAAAGGATTTTTAATTGGTTTTAATTGATTTTCAACTGGTTTTTAAGTCAGTTTTTCAATTGATCTTAATTAATTTTCAATTGATTTTAATTTATTTTCAATTGATTTTAATTGATTTTCAACTTACTTCAATTGATTTTCAACTGATTTTTAATTGATTCTTGTTGATTTTCAGTTGATTTTTCATTGATTTTAATTCATTTGTCATTGATTTTAATTCATTTTTACTTGATTTTTTTATTGACTTTAATTGCTTTTGAATTAATTTTTAATTGATTTTAATTGATTTTCAATTTATTTTTCATTGTTTTTAGTTGGTTTTCAATTTATTTTTCATTGTTTTTAGTTGATTTTCAATTTATTTTTCATTGATTTTAGTTAATTTTTAATTGCCTTTAATTGATTTTAATTTATTTTAGTTAATTTCTTGTTGATTGTCATTGGTTTTCGAATGATTTTTCATTGATTTTAGTTCCTTTTGAATTGATTTTTAATCGCTTTTCAACTGATTTTTCCTGGATTTTCATTGTTTTTCCATCGATTTTCCCCTGGAATTTTCCCCTGGAGCGTCAGACGGTCCCAGGGGAGGCTCTTTGCCATGTTTTTGGGGCTGATTTGGGTGTTTTTGGGCCAGGCCGTTCCCCCCAGGACAATCTGGTGCCCTGTGATGTTCTCCTGCTCCGGGGTCGCTGCATCGTGGACGAGGCGATGCTGACGGGGGAGTCCGTGCCACAGATGAAGGTGGGAATGGGGAAAGGGCAGGGACAACCCACGGGAATCCGGGAGAACCCACGGGAATCCGGGAGAACCCAC